TAGATATGAATTTAATCATCTAGAGTGATTGCAGGGAATCCCATATAAATCTTAGACCGACAACATTTTATTTTCATTCTTAGCTTTCATTTATTCCTGCCTGTTCTCTCCTGTTATTGGCTAATTAAAAGTCTTACTATTCATCTATATTAAGATTTTCTAGTTCAGGGCTTCTTCAACATTAGAACAATTGACAGTTGGGACTGGTTTTTTCTTTCTTGTAGGTCTGCCTTGTAGGATGTTTAGCAGAATCCTTGGTCTCTACCCATGAAATATCAATGGTAACTTCCAATTGTGACAACCAAAAATTTTTCCACATATCAACAATTGCCCTCGGAAAGAAAAAATCACCCCCATTTGAATCCACTGCACTAGTTGATGGAAAAAAGTAGATTAGACGTTGATAATGATGAAATAATATTTGTATTTTTAGGTATGACAAGAAAATTTAAACATAAAATTCTCTTCCTGTGTTTGTTTGGGCCTCCTCTCTCCCTCCCTCATGTGCAGTGTGCATCTGCATTCCACACTAACTAGACCTCCTCAAACATGGGGGTGCCCACTCGAGCATAAAGATCCTTTGCTTCCCTTTCTTCTAATGTTGGCAATGTAACTTCTTGAAGAAGAACATTCTTTCTCAACTCTGTAAGGGATCATAACGACTTGCTGCTAACTTTGTATGAGTTACCTGGACTGTGTATCTTTGCTGAACTTTATATAAAATATCAATATGTCATTTTGATGTATGATCCCTTTGTCCTGAAAAGTTATGTGACTGTTCCTTCCATTTCTAACAGGTGGAATAGTTCTCAGAGCCCCTGAGGGTCTGTCTCCTGGGTTATACTCCTCAGTTTGGCTTGAGTAAAATGCTCTTTTTTTCCCTTACCTTGATTGTTAATTGAATTTTCATTGACAATAAGATCCATAAAGTAGTTTATATAGATATGCTAACTGATTCCTAAAGTTGTGCCTAAAATCTAGAGCATGTAAGGCAGTAACACAGAGGATAGTGGAAAACTTGCTTATAAGAATTTAAACATATAAACAAATAAATAATAATATGGAAGAGAAATACAAAAAAAAAAAAAAATAGTTCTACAGTCCGGCCACACATTGCCTAAAAAAAGACACACTTTTTGATATATACAGAGTTACAGATTTGCGCTCAAGGATAGGATGTTGAGGGGAATAATAGACTCTACGGTATGTTTTTACCTGGTTGATGAAGAACAATGTTACTACAGAATTGTTGAGAAATGATGTCAGATTAGTCTGAACATTTACTGAGGCAATGGTTCCTTCACTCCATATGAGAAGCTTCCCTGGACTCTAACTCTCTAGAAACTGTGCTGATCTTCCAAGCACAAGGCTCTACAAATCACACAAATTTTTCTTCATCATTCTTTTTTGATTTTTACGGGCTGCTTCCTTTCAGTAAATGTGATCTTTCTACTTAAAAGGATTATGTTAATGCAGGTTAGTTGTGGATGTTTCCCAGGTATCTTGGAAATGAACCATCGGTGAGGGGAGAAACTCACATAGGAAGAATTCCTCGTGGCTGCAGATAAAGTAACACAGAGTGAGTGATGCTTTTCCTAAAATGGGATTGAAGGAAACAATTGCTACTAATCTCCTTTCCACATAGCAACAAGTCTCTATTTCCTTATGATTTTCTCTAGTAAGAAAACAATAAATTTAAGCCCTTCCCTTTAAAACAGTGGCATGCTTGTACAATTCAGAGTCCCCCGAAGTTTGAAAGTTTTCATGCTCTAAAAGACAAATGTTTTAGGTGAACAGAAATTAAATCTTATAAAAAAGATAGAAAATTATTAGATAAAATGTTTAAAAAATATAATAAAATATCAAAGAGATATGAGGAAATTTGACCAAAATCACACATCAGGAGTTGAGCTGGGGACGAAAATCATATTTTCTGCATTTTTCATTATCTAATAACAGGAACTATATTTAACATAATCTTGAATCCTTAGTCACTAGCAAGGAATCAAAGGAAAGCCGACAGGAGGAGAACCTGGGCAGTCATCTCCGCTAATTCTTAGTGTCTTTAGCTGCAGTGATAAAGGTCAACTATATGGTGCTGGTAAAATCGAGCTCACAGGTAAGCACTCAGCTTATGCTTTCAAAGTACCATTTATTTCCTTTATTTTGCCATTATTCCTCTCATTTTCCTTAATGTTTCTTTAAAATTATAGCTTTCCCAGGAATTTATCAGGGGCCATGTTCTCTTCTCACTTTATACATTCTCTGTTTTACATGTTTATCTCCCTTTTTAAACTACACATATGCTGAATTTTCTGTATCAGTCTTTTTATTTCCATCGATAATCTTCTCTGAAGAATTTTTTTTTTTTGAAGAATCTTGTTTTGAAAAATCTCTGACACAAAAAAAGAAAAAAAAAGTGACCAGCTAAATAAATAAATAACCTCTTCTGGGGATGAGAAGACTCACATGATGGGTTTAACTGGCAATGTTCCCAGTGGTCTCACCTTGATTTCATTATTCAATTGTAAATATGACCCAGATGACATTAATTCTAATAAAGGTCATCAAAACTGAAAGATGTAGAAATGTCTTTAGAATAAGAAATTCTTGATATTATAATTAAGAAAATGTATCCAGTACACATTTTCCTCACCTTCTAATCAAAGACAAGTCCAAAGGCCCATAGTAGCTAATTCTGCCAGTATGTACAACTAAATGCAAACTAAATAAGAAGAATATTAGCTAGAAAACTTTCTTTGAAAAGGGGCAAAATTAAGCTTATGAAATTCAAGGTGTAATGACTGTTGCTCACTGAAATTTGAGTGTCAACAGAAAGCACTCAGGAATTTTAGGTGGAAATGGAAAGAAGTGATGAGTTGAAAGCAAATAAAGTAAAATTATACAATCTGAGATCACCTGGAGAGATGAAGTTTGTCAAAAGAAGCTGATAAAGAAATTTGTTAGTTAATGAAGGGCTACATGAAACAGGGGAGAAGAGTAGAGAGAACGTGTTCTATGACAGCTAGGTAATATAGATGGACAGAATAAGGGCACATTTCTGATAAGTATTTCCAAATTTGGAGAATCAATTCTGACTCAGTCTTCTATTTCAGAGATTCAAAGATAAGTAGATATTCCTTGTCCATGACCCTTAGGAGCCAGATGCTGAAAAGGTAAACACTCGACATCTTGACGATGGTGAAAAGCAGAGTTTACTCTTGTGGAGAACTCATTCCTGGTTCTAACCCAGAACACTATGACATCATTCTTGTTGAAGACCAGTTTATTTTCATGGAACATAACCTCATGTATATTTCTTCTGCTGTTCCTGTCATTGAATTTTTGTCTTCTAAACCAAACCAAACCAAACAAACAAGAGCTTTTAATGTACATCCAGCACTTCCAGATAAGTTTTGAAGCTTGGTGTGTCATGTGCCTAATCTTGACCCAATAGGGTGGAAACACAACTGCTTTGGAACACAGTACATTATTTTCTTACACTTAGATCCCCTTGCTCAGGATATTTTCTCAGGATGGCTAAGAGATGGCATCAATAAGCTCTTTTTTGTGCACTTAGAAAAAAGCCAGTTATTGAAGATATCAATCTTCCTCTTGATTACCTGTTATATATGAACGGACACGTGAAAGAAAAACAGCCTCTGGGGACTTCCCTGGCGGTCCTCTTCCACTTCAGTGTTCCATCCTTGGTCAGGGTACTAAGATCCCGCATGCCACTCAGGGCAGCCCCCGCTAAAAAAAAGAAAGAAAAAAGAAAAACAGCCTCTGAGTCACAGTCTTTGTTAGAGCAAATCAGCCTGTCCCCTAACTCATTTGAGAGATTTTCCCTTGCCCTGAGTATCTGAAAGAAGTGAACTCCCAGTTTCATGGAATTTAGCACATTACAGTTTATGCAATTTTTTCACATTTCAGTCATCATTTATCCCATGACCATACACCAAGGTATTTTCTTTATTTTTCTTTCTTGGTTTCTTTCTTTTCTTTGTTTCCTTCTTTATTCAGTTTCTTTTTCTTCTTTCTTACAGGGTATATGTATCATTCTATTTCTAGAAATGTGAATTCTCAATCATGTGTGTTACTCTTTCAAATGCAAATCGGTTTTGCTTTTGTCAGTGCATGATGTTTATATCACCTAATGCTAAGTGATTTTATATATATGCCTATGTAAATCCTGTCTCATGAAAGACAAATATCATATGATACCGCATATATGTGGAATCTAAAAAAAGGGAACAAATGAACTTATCTACAAAACAGAAATAGAGTTACAGATGTAGAAAACAAACTTATGGTTACCAGGGTGTAAGTGGGTGGGAGGGATAAATTGGGAGATTGGGATTGACATATACACACTACTATATATAACATAGATAACTAATAAGGGCCTACTGTGCAGCACGGGGAGCTCTACTCAATACTCTGTAATGGCCTATATGGGAAAAGAATCTAAAAAAGAGTGGATATATGTATATGCATAACTGATTCACTTTGCTGTACACCTGAAACTAACACAACATTGTAAATCAACTATACTCCTATAAAAATTTTAAAAATAAAAATAAATCAATACAAATAAATCCTGACTGTCTCATTCTAAGTCTTGTTTTCTGTTTCCCATCACTAGGAATATCTATCTTCCACTAACATATATTTGCCATCCTGAGGAAATCTCAAAATCCAACCTATATAATAAAATTACAGTATAGACATTTCAAATCTCAAAATAAATAGAATTTCCTCGGCCTATGAATCTGGAAATCAGTTTATTTCTTACATTTTGTTGACATTATGATTTATTATTTTCATAATATTATGAAAATTTATAAATTTTCATACTATTATGAATAAAATTATAAATTTCATTTTATAATTTTATGATTTTATAAATTTATTAAATTTCATAAAATTATGAAAATTTATTATTTTCCTAAATAAATCATATTTATTTATGATTTATTATTTACATATAATATGTAATAAATAATAACATATTATTTATTATGTTACCTGTATTTTGGAAAACTTTGTTAATGCCAGAAAAATATTGTTTATATTCGCTCTTTCATTTATTTATCCATTCATTCACCACATCTTTATAGTATTCTATGTTTTAAGCATGTGTAAGATAGTGGGAATATAGTAATTAAAAAAATACTGTCCTTACCTTCTTAGTATTTTCAGTCTAGTAGTATCCAAGCATCTAAGCATCCACCAATTTGATGAGAGAAATGCAGAGAAACATATGGTATCCTGGGCACATACTTGGCCTTCAATAGACAAAGGAGGTCAACTAAATTACTTAATTCAGTAAGGGGACATAGCAGGAATGGGATGAAACCTAGAAGCAGTGGCCTTATATTCTGATAGAATTCTCATTCTTATTCAGCACATTTCAACATAAGTACACTTCAAAAATTAAGGTTAAATTGGATATTTAGCAAAGTTTACAGTGACCAGTATCCTACTCTCAGACAGCAAAATCTGCTTCTCAGGTGGTAGGACAAAGATTAAAGCACCAATGCTACCTAGCCCTCTCTCTGAGAGTCATGAAAATTATTGATTTTAATGAGTCAGGATCCCAGTACATGAAAGTTAGACAGCTTTAATAGACACGCTACTGTCAATGCCAATCTGGCAACACAGGCAGGACGGGGCCACATTTTCAACTCAAAAAGAATAATGCATATGTGTGCCAGGGGAAATTAGATGTATAATCAAAGAAATATTGTGCCAGACCATGCCATATATAGGTATATATGGAACTCTGTTTAATCAATAACATATTATCTATCAATATATCAACTTCTGAGTAATCTAATTTCAAAAACTGTGGAATGGTGAATGTACATATAGAAACGGAGGAACATTTTAGGTTTAAATCTGGACAATGGTTCTCAAACTTGACTGCACGTTAGAATCACCTGGGGAGTTTCTAAAACTCCCCCATTTTAAGCTATGCCCCGGAACATTACATCAGAACTTCTCTGATGGGACACAGGCATCGCCGTTTTCCAAAAATCCTCACGTGATTCCAACGCTCCGGCAAGTTTGAGAATCAGTGGTTTAAAATTCTTCACACATCCCCTACTCACCTCAAGGTGGAAGATTTGAATGATCAGGCATCAGCACTTACCATTTGTTTTTTTCTTCCCTTTGCTCTACCTCAGTGATGATCAGGCTTTATGTGCCCCGGGAATTACTTCATAGCATAGCAGACTCAAGTCATAGTTAATTCATCACGTATCTTGTTAATGGGTGTGTGGGGAGGAAAAATTTTTCTTTCTTCTCTTCTAGATTCTTTGGCTGCTCTAATAATTAAATGGACATATGGCAGATCAACTGGAGAAAAACAAATTTAATTCGTATGTATGGGAGCTCATAGAAAAATGAGACTCAGAGAAGTGACCCAAGTAGGCAGCTTTTATACCTTTTAGACAAAGAAACAATACATTTGTGAAAAATTGACAAAACAAAGAAGTTTTCTCTTAGGGTATTAAATTAGTAAAATAACACAGTTTGTTTATGCAGCCTTCTTAGCTTTCAGTTTCCTATCTTTGGTGATTAGAATATCTTTTTACATTCTGTTAACAGGAGGATACCTTTTGTATGGGAGATTTATTTCCTGCTTTCAGGGGGACAACGAAGGTTCAGAGTGTCCTTCTTGGTTGTCTCTTAAGTATAACCAATATGTCAAAGTGGCACATTTTGGGGTGGCCTGCACTGAACCACATCAAGTGATAAGTTCAGATGTACTAGGAACACATCCTATTACCACCATATGCAAAATTTTAGATCTTCACTTCTTGACAATTATGAATTCACTACACTCTAATCTTAAATGATCACACTTAAAATTATGAAGAGGTGAGTAAGAAGCATCAGAAGCTCTGGTTAATGTGTAATGCAGATGCACACTGTGGAGAGAGGAGGCCTAAACAGACACTGAAAGGGAATTTTATGTTTAATTTCTCTTGTCCTGCCTTAAAATATAAATTTTATTTCATCAGTAGTTACAGAGGACAAAAGCAATTTTCAAAGAAGCTGAACGGGAAGCAGGCACTAGAATGGGAAGAGGTGGGTGTCGAAGGAAAGCTTCACTTGATGACTGATACAGGGCGCCCCCAGCTGGTTACTCTGACTGTCATACTTTACCAAGATTTTTTAAAATGCAAAATACTTTTAAAAAAATAAAAATATTTATGGGGTCAGAGCAAGAGTACAAATAGAGGTCCACATACCACATGTCAAATATTTAAAATGTCTAACTACGGCTAGCAAACTGCTAATAAATATTCTTATCCTCACACTCTGGCAAACATTTAACTTCATAGAGACATGGAAGGCTGGTTGATATTTATAGTTGTTGGGCCTTGTCATGGTGCTGACATGGTTCACCTGGGGGAAAGCAATCCAGGGAGGAAAAGCTCAGCAGCCCCCGGTTCAGGTGGGGAATTTGGGAGTTCCTGATAGGAGAAATTCTAGGAGGTAAAAAAATGTGCAGACTCCTCTACCTGTAGGATTGGATTGGGTATATCTGGAGAAGACCAGAGAAATGCTCTGCTGCCCAGGACACAGGCAACTCTTCCACCCATCACTGCTTTTTTTCTCTGAATTTAAGAAGGAAGGACTTCCTTGGTGTCCAGTGGCCAAGACTCTACGCTCCCAAGGCTGGGGCCCCAGGTTCGATCCCTGGTCAGGGAACTAGATCTCACATGCTGCAACTAAGACCCGGCATAGCCAAATAAATAAATAAATAAACATATTTAAAAAAAAAAAAAAAGAGGGAAGAATGTTCTGTTCAGCGACCTTGACAGAAAAAGTGCTCTGCCCCCATCCCCACAACTACTAGGCTCTCACTTCCCTTCCTTCCGAATTCCCATAGTCCACACCTTGCCCATTTTACTGACTCCATGCAGTGATGTTGGAGGGTCAGGAGAACTGGGGGACTTGCTGCTTCCAAAGGGTAACAATCCATTTTGCCCACACTCTGCCCCATGAATAGTTACCTGCTCAGCTGGGTCTCCTCCTGCTGAGGCCCTGTCCTATGGCCCCAGAACCAAAAGGCACCTCCTGCCCTATCCCTTAATAGCTAAACCCAGGGAAACTCCCAGACCTCAAAGGAAGCAGAGGAATGGTGACCTCTTAGGGGAATCATGCATATGCACAAAGTGGGACATCCTGGAAAATGGGGCTCCCTCCCTCCATCTCTCATCCAGCTCAGACTGTTGCTGGACCCAAGGGTTTCTGCATAGCCAAGGCAGTGCTCTAAGAACGCTGTGCCAAGCTCTGAGCTGATTCTTCAGAATCCACAGTTTGGTTTTCCGTGACTGCACGCAGAATATTTGGAACCAGTGGTAAATAGGATGGAGGTTTGCTCAAGGTGGCAAATAACTCCCCGCATAAACAGAGAACTAAATGGACTGAGACATAAGTCGATATAAACTCCATACATGAGTACAACGCCTCTTCCCTTCCCTTGGCCCAGAGGGTCGCTGAACTGGCCATCTCATCCTTTCTTTACTGTTCCCCCTTAGCTGGCATAAGGAGCGCCAGGCAGAGAATCTCCGGTTCTGCTCTCGCTGGGAAGCCTTGGGGGGCTTGATATGGAGTGTGAGGGACAGGAGAAATCTCCATTCTGGTGGCCAAAAATGCTGTTACGTTAAAGTCTTACACTGAAATACAAAAATAAATCAATCAATAAAGCGCATCCTCCAATACAGAATATAAACAAACCTCAGGTAAAACATTTCCGACTTTTCCAACAGGTTTTCTAAAGTCACTAACTGATGAAATAATGTGTTC